AATATAGGACTCATTTTTTCGACCTCGAGTTTTTGACGGATGTTTACGTTTTGGGGGTCCCCTGAATCCGTTTTGACTATTTTCGCGATGATGTCTGTGTGTGTGTCTGTATACTTGATAACTCATAAACGGATACATAGAAAAACACTAAACTTTAAACTTAAGCTTTATTCCCGCCAGAATCGGACCATCTGGGAGGTACTTATAGGGGGTCATTTTTATATTTTATAGAATATATGTTATTTACGTTTGGAGAAGAAAATTCGCCAAGTAAAAGTTACTTCTAATAATATTCTCCATAATGTTTGTTATATACAAAATTTTTCTAAAATGGTCCGTATTCGAGAAATTTGACAAAATGTAAAAACATTCAAATTTTTAAGAAAATTGTTCAAACAAAAGTTGTTTAATATTATTGTCTATAATTCTTGTCCTATACATAATTTCTCCAAAATGGACCGTATTCGAGATATTTAAGAAAAAGTGTAAATTTAGACTTTTGAAGAAAACTCAATAACGGATAAAGAGAAACAAATTTTAAACTTAACTTTTATTCTTGCCTGTGGTGAACTGATTAGATTAGAGTCGGAACATCTGAGGGGTACTTTTATAAGGAGTCATTTTTATATTTTATGGAATATAACTGTTATTTACGCTTGGACAAGAAAATTCTTCAAATAGAAGGTACCTCTAATATCGTTCTCTATAATTTTTGTTTTTTACATGATTTTTCTAAAATGGACCGTAATGCAAAAATTTTAAAAAAAGTGTAAAATTAAAATTTTTCAGTATTTTCGTTGCCAATGAATATATATAAAAAAGGTTTCAAGATGTATGTGGAACATTTATATATTTAGTTTATTCTCTTAACATTTACAGAGGTGTAATAGGTTGTAGAAAATAACCGGAAAAAGCCTGTTATAACTAGATAGGAAAGTCATGTGTTGGACACAGATTTTTCTAAGAAATATCAGAAGAAATTGTGTTGTCCATAGAAGACATTTTATTATCTAAGGAAAAAATAACCGAAGAAACTTTACTTTCTAATGAAGAAATGAAAGAAATTATTATAGAAGATACTTCATCCGAAAATAGATACGTTTCCTGATCCAAACCCTCACATTCTATTGTTTCTAATTATTGACGTAGCCCCGTCACTTTTAATTCACTGAGTTTTTTTAGTCATTTTAACCACTATTTATTTACAATATCTCAACTTATAACACTAATTTAAACAGTTTAATTATTCCAATTTATATTTACTAAATACACCAACTTATTTAATTGTACTCAAAACTACATCAATTTATATTTACGTAAACAATTTATCTTTACTCGACAATATTTATTTCTAAACTAATAAATAAATATATATTACGGAAAGATCCATTATAGTATACATAAATTACATAAAATAGCTTAAATACATTAGGTACAAAAAATCTTAACATTAAATACATGAGATGAAATATACCAAAGTTATTAAAAACATATTCTCTTCATATCGTTCTGGAATTGACTAATTGAACACCCAGTGACATCTAAATTGTATTGATTAGCCGCAGTCTCATTAGTCTAGGTAGGGGCGCATGATAAGCATAATTAATGAGGTGAAGTTGAATTGCTAATAGACTATTATTCCTTGTAGTTCTTGTGGGAACTGTAAATGCAATCATGGATAATAACTCATCAGAAGTAACAATATGATCTAATAGAGGAATGACAGATCCATGAAGATTCTTCGATTTACAAGGGTTGGGAGATTTATTAAGTTCAGAATTGTGGAATAATTATATGTACCTGTCGCTAGACCAAGTTTAAAGGCACAATATCGCAAATATCTATTTTGGACATTTTCAATCCTTTTTACAGAGTTGTTGTAAAATGGACACCATATGGTAGACTTGTACTCAAAATCGACCTAATATAACATATGCAACATAATCCATTCTACAGGCATCTAAAGATAGCGAGCTAGAGTTTCTATCAGCATCTCTAACATTTTCATTGCTCTATTAACAATTTGATTAATATAATCGAATTAAATTACCGGTTTTGAGCTTACATTAAATTGTAATTAGATGAAACAAAATGGATTCTGTGTATTTTGAGGTGATCTTTTCGAAAAAAGGCAAAACAAAATGTAGCAGTTTTTCGAAAGTGCCGAAATTTTGGATTTAGTAAATTTTCCAATTTTGCGCATGCGCATGTCGCAAATAAATCAATATTTTTAAAACGCAGTTTACGACATTTGAAATCTTAGAAAAAATGCTAATTTTTATGTATCCTGAGAAATTTTGATCCAATGCACCGTTCTCGCGGTATGGACGATTGAAATTTGTTTAGTATTTTGAGGCGGCGAAGGTCGAAAAATTGAATTTGTTAAATGTTCAAACACTAAATTCCTCACTACTTTGGTAAAAATTAGGATATTTGAAGAAAAAAAAATTAGTTTTGAACTTAAGGGATGTGGATATTCATTCCCAGAAGGGGGCAAGAGAAATCCCAAAATTGTGCATATGGCGGAAGAGCAAAGTGTACCGCAAGCCTAATTTCATTGTTTGCCTATAACGGCCAAACTATTTAAATATTTTTAATGCCACTTTCAGAGCTTACTCTTAAATATGAAATCTTATACGTGTGTGAATTTTACCGAAATCGGATTATAATTGGCCAAGATATCAAACAATTTAAAAAAAAAATTCCCTAAAAAAACTAAATTTTTTTTCGAAAGTTTGAAGTGGCACAAAAATGCCAAAAATGCACCCAATGACTTAAAACTTTTTTTTTGAATACTCTATTATATCTAGAATACGAATACATTACGGAAAATTCTGCAAAAATATTTTATCTATTTTTTTGACCACTGTTCATTGAGTGACGACCAAAAAACACGGTTTTTGAGAAAAGTTGCCTAAAATTGACGATTTTCAGTTTTTTGGTCTGAAAATTGAGCAAACCCAAATCTCATGTCTTCTGAATATGTATACAAAGTTTAAAGTGTATATGTTTCTTCTAAGTTGTAGAATTCTCCCGACAAAAGTCCCATTACACGCGCTCCGCGGGATCCAAAACTCATTTCTGTAATTTGATTTTTTTGTGATTTCCAGTTTTAAATTTCTTACATACCTAAATGTATTAGGCCTAAAATTTATTAAATTGTATTTTACTGACTTGTTATAAGACGTTTCTTGAGTTTTGTGCAAAAAATAGAATTTCCGCAAAATTAGCCGGACGTCGTATCAAGGATAGCCATGGTCTCAACGTTCGCTATCCGACAAGTTTAAACTTGAAACGGTCATATTATTACAAATTGAATCGCTTGATAGTGTTCATTGGTATAGATATTTAATAACCGTGTTCAGCAAGCTCTGTGTACACGTGGTTTTTCGGACTTCTTCAGCAATTTATTGAGTAAGTACGTTCTTAAGAAAATTCTATCACAGTGCTATAATTTTTTTGTTTTGTATAAAAGGGCCGCGATTGACAATGCCAAAAATAAAGGAGGATGGAGCATCAACCGAGAAGAAAACCAGATGTTAGAGAACAAAAAACAAGCTTATCACCAAGTTGGAACTTACACTCAAGCTTAGGATTAATTTCCTAACATTTTTAAAGTATACCTCTTTGTATATTTTTTTGTGCTCTTTCCGATAGCGCAGTTAGTTTCTTCAAATATATTTTTGGTTAGATGTTTTCGGAAAACCCGGAGAAAATCATGTGGGAAAAAAATTAAAAAAAATTTACGCCTTCCGGTTTCCTGCGAATTCCCGAAAAATTATGGCAGATTTCGCCGCGGGACTTATTTTATTTGAGAGCCCACAAAAAAATACGCAACTTCTCTCATGGGCACATATGTCTAACATTTATAATTTCGCCACAAATTCATCGCAAATTTCATGTTCATGATTCTGATCAAAGAAACGAAGAAACAATTTTTTGGTAAAAGCACTTCTGGCGGCGAGAAATTCGCCATTAAAACTAACTGTGTAATGAAATTCCGAACTATTTTTGTCTACTCTTTCGATTGGTGCATTTATTTTTACTATCAGAATGATACTTGCCCAAATAATTAGCATTTTTACAATGGAAAATTCTGGAAAACCCGGTTTTTCCTAATTTAAAAAAAAATTGAAAAACAGCTACATCATTTTTTCTTTTTTTCGGAAAGATCACATCAAAATACACAAGGTCCACTTTCTTTCATCCAATTACAAATTAATGTTGCTCGAAGGGGCTTTTTTCGTTATTTAATTGGACTAATATGATTATTAAAGGAAAGATCTGAGCAAAATAAGATTCCCAGGTCTTTAATTTCGGTAACACGTTTAATTGGCGTTTTGTTATCCAGACAGTAGTTGATTACGAGTTTTTGTAAAAGTAATGCAGTAACGCTTACTACTGTTTAGGGTTAGACTATTAGAGGAAGACCATTCACATAAGACATGGATATCTTTTTCAAGTTTATTACAACAATCACCTCTGTCATCCTTTTAGTAAATCTTTAAATCATCGGCAAACAGCAGATAATTACTGTATTCAAAAACAGATCCTACATCATTAATGAATAAATTAAAAAGTAAAGGAGCTAAGTGGGCCCCTTGTGGTACACCAGAAGAAACTTCTATGGGACCAGACAAAAATATACAAAAATGTTATGCCATAGAAAAATCCAGTATTCTCAAATAATCTCAATGCTCTCTCTAGACGTTGTCGAAACCTTTTCTCTATGAGTCGGTACGCATGCAAAAATTTTCCAGTTTGTCTCGATCGTCCAGTAGTAGCGGAACACAGGCAAGAGGTTAGAGGTAAACAAATCAGTGCCGAACTGGTTAAAAATGACTCGCACATTACTTATACGGTGGTGGATAAAGAGAATAACTAAAGCATTTGTTAAAAAATGTTTGTCATTTTTGGACCATGTTGTTCAGATATCAATAAAAGCAACATGGATATAAAAAGTTTATTATATAATATAATGAAATAATTTAAAACTACATAACCTCAAATGCATTTAAAACTGGAAAATTAAACATTTTTTTCTTACAATTTTAAGACAGTTTAGTTTCAGCGAACTTTTTAGCCAAATCTAATAGATCAGAAACAGGAACACCATTATTCCCGGAAGCTTGAGCAGAATCAGGCTTACCACCTCCCTTACCGCCAATCTTCTTAGCTACCTCTTGCACCCACTCGTTTGCCTTCAGTCCCTTTTCAACGGCATCTTTAGGCACTGACGACAAACAGAATATCTTGTTGGAATCTTCGTCTATAGTCACAAACAGTGCTGCAGTAACAGGACTCAAAGTCCTCACTTGCTTCAAGGCCGTATCCAAGGCTTTAGTGTTGTTAAAAGCTTTTAATTCTTTTACTAAAATCGGTAAATCCGGATTGGCTCTAACGAATTCTTTAATTTCTTCAACCACTTTAAGTGCCACGGCAGTCTTGACGGCGCGATCTTTGTCGTCCAACGATTTCTTGAGGTTCTTCAATGAGTTTCTGATTTCTTCTTTCTTCCAGTAAGGTATCAGAGCGTGCGATACTTCTTCTGTTAGTTCTACGATCTTTTTAACATGCTCTTTCGATTTGGCGCCATCTTTGTCAGCGTCGATGGTAGATTTTAGTTGGTTTAGTCCGTTTTCGAGTAGGTCGGTTCTTTTTAAGGCTTTAGTAGCTTCAGGGCCAGTTAAAGCTACAATTCTTCTGATACCTGTGGGTAAAACATAACGAAATACTTAATAATGACATTAAATGGTTCATACTTATGAAATTTAGGAAGCTAAATTTGATTTACTTTAAAATTTAACTTTAAATTACTACAGAATTAGCTCAGTAATACCTTTAGCTATGGCCTCTTCACTGGATATGACAAAATCCCCAATGTGACCAGCATATTGCACATGGGTCCCACCGCAGAATTCTATTGAGGTATCATCACCGGCCGGTCCGAAAGGATCCTTCTCTAAATCTTCCACCGGTATACCGATGGAAACGACTCTTACGGGATCCGGGTAGGTCTCTTCGAAAACTGCCCGTAGGCCCCTAATGGTTTTTGCCACGCCCAAGCTGGTGTCTTTGGCGTAAACTTTCTTGTTGCGCGATATCAGTTCTTTGGAGTGTTGTTCGGCTTTTTTCACCTGATCGGCGGTCATGGCGCCTTTGTTGGTGAAGTCGAAGCGAAGTCTGTCCGGAGCGACTAAGGAGCCTCGTTGGTCGGCTTCGGTACCTGAAAAACCGAACAATGAAGGTTCGTAATAGATCCACAGGAATCGGACTTACCCAAAACCTTCCTAAGAGCATAGTTGAGTACGTGAGTACCAGTATGGTTGCTCATCACCAATCGCCTTCTCGAGCTATCGACGTGCAGACTAACTTTATCCCCCTTCTTCAAAGCCCCCTCCAAATTGCCAATATGTATGATGTACCCACCCCTGACTTGCACATTCTTAACGGTAAACTCGACACTATCGTCCCCCACTTTCACCAAATACCCCGTATCGAAGATCTGACCGCCCTGCTCGGCGTAGAAATTGGTTTTGTCTAATAGGACGCCGCATTCCTGCCCAGCATGTACCTCATCGACGAACCGTTTGTCGTAGCGCAGGGCTATGACGGTAGCTTCGCATGGTTTGAAGGTATATTCAGAATCGGGGGTTTCGGTGGAGTCGTAGGAGTATTTGTCGAGATCGTCAGTAGGTGGTACACCTTTGGTTTGCAGTTCAGTAATAGCATGCACGTCGAGGTTTATGGTGTCAGCTACGCCAGTGCCTTTTCCCTATAAAGAATTTAGAAACACATTTAAACTACCAAGTGAATAATCACTCAATCAATATCAATACCTACTAGGTAACTGCTTATCTATTAGGCATTCCAATGACCTGTCAAACAAAAGCTGCCAGTGGGAAGGTCTCGTAAATCTAAAGATGTTGCGACATAGTCTTTTATCTTGGACACTATTTTTATTTGAAATAGATTGATCATCAAGCCTATCAATTTATAGAAAATGGATAGATTTTTTTTTAATATTATTTTCATTATGTTCGACATAAAATATTTAAATTGAATCCATTATTTATGATTTGACGTATTGTAGACTACATCGTATGTCGCAATCCTTTAGACATGCCAAACCATAGCACCGTGTTTCATTTGTTTGGAATGCCAAATTTGGCAAATAATTAGAAACATCTTCTACTAACCTGTGAAGTAATTTGTGCTTGTTTTTTCGACTCTTCATAAGCCTCCATATCAACATCCATCCCTTTTTCTTCAGCCATTAAAGACGTCAAATCCACCGGGAATCCATATGTGTCATACAGTCTCCAAGCTACATCACCAGGTAAGACTTTTACATTCGAATCCAACTTGGAGATGGTCCTGTTCAATAAATTTCTACCTCTTGATAGGGTTTTCAAAAATTGTTCTTCTTCTTCATTGATTGTATCAATTATTCCTAAAAAAATTGTCTAACTAAGACAAATATTTCGAAATTTTGTAAATATTCAATAAATATATAAAATTCTACCTTGAGGATTTTTTCTAACTTCTGGAAAAATATCACCAAGAATTTCAACAACGGTATTGACTAGAGTAGCGAAAAATCCAGGTTTAGAATTTAATTTCTCGATGGCATATCGTACACCTCTTCTCAATATTCTTCTTAGGACATATCTATGAAATAGAAGAAGAAATATTAATTTATCATGGAAAATTACTGGTGGCAATCTTGTACATACATCTTAGATTTTTAGCAAATCACACATAAAAATATTATTAAATCGGGTGATCTTGGCGGTCAGTCAAAAAATAAAAATATACGGGGTAGCAAAAAGTCTGGCAACAAAATATTTTCTTTAAAACGAATGAAATTGTAGGGTGATGTATTACATTATTATTGTTTTTTCTGTTCCTACACTACAGCGAAAAAAGCATGGTAACAAGGTATTTTAGGTTGATGAATGGAACTGTATTACATGTAATGTAGTATTTTTTAATATTCTTGAAAAGAGGAAAAATAAGGTTTTCCCAAATATCATTCGACCTTCTTTGCCATTTAAAAAATTCAAGATGGCGGCCGTACACTAAACGCTGACGTCACATAAATTTGACATATCTTTTAAAAAAATACTGAATACAACTCCATTCATCACCCTACAATTTCGTAATTATACATTCATTCGTTTCAAAGAAAATACCTTGTTGCCAGACGTTTTCGCTACCCAATATATCAATCTATTTTCATTTAAATAATCGTTACTTACCCACGGCCTGTATTATCAGGGTTGCCACCATCGGACAAAGCTATTGTTAAAGTCCTTGCATGATCTGCTAAGACTCTGTATGCCATATCAATACCATCAGTATCGTCCTTTCCTACTCTACCTTGGTATGGTGGAGCACCAGTGCCTTTTTGAATGGCGTCAAATAATGGAAGAAATAAGTCAGTGTCATAATTTGATCTACAGAATAATAATATTGATCTTTATTATGAAAACAACTAAGAAATTTGAAGATTGATTTTTTTTTTGATGATTACAATTCCTAACCTCTTATCCTGTATGACAGAAACCAATCTTTCCAATCCTAGCCCACAATCGATGTGCTTCTTGGGCAAAGGCTTCAAACTACCGTCACTTTCCCTATTATACTGAATAAACACTAGATTCCAAATTTCCAAAACGTCGGGATCATCCATATTCACTAGTTCCGGTACTTCTCTGTTCCCAATTCTATCATAATGCAATTCAGAACAAGGACCACATGGTCCGGTTTCCCCCATTTCCCAAAAGTTGTCTTTCATGTTACCTGGCAGGACATGTGATGGTTTTACACCCAAGTTGAGCCATATCTTAAAAATATGTATTCACTTTACTTTGTTAGAGCCACAATGCTGGACATAAAACTATGGAGCAACAGTTTCAGAAACAAAATGTTCTAATCCCCTTTTTACGTGATAAATACAAACTGATACTTAAAAACAAGAATTGTAAGCTCCCGCAAACGTAAATTTTTCCAAGGCCTACTTTAGAAACATTTTTTGTTGATCACTCCATAATTTACAACCAAGTAATTAAGTATGATTTATCTATAAAAACGACATGGAACTTTTTCATGTATAATAAATACATATTTTCTGCTTACTTGTTTACAGTCATTGTCTGGTTCCAATCCAGAAGCTGGATCACCCCCAAAATAAGTCACATACAGTCTATCAGCCTGTAATTTAAGTTTCTGTGTCAAAAATTCCCAAGCCCAAGTGCAAACCTCTTTCTTAAAATAATCCCCAAAAGACCAGTTACCCATCATCTCAAAAAATGTATGATGGTAAACATCCTTACCTACAAAATATAAATGTTATGGTGTTGTTAATATTATTAACGTAAAGAAAAGTCAATTTTATATTAATCAGATTGTTAAACAACAATAATTTAATATGAAAAATTAATCAATCCAAAACGGTTTATTAGTTATTTCGCTAATGGTATTCAATTTGAACACAATGGTCAAAAAGTCAATGAATTAGCTAATTGTTTTAATAGACTTTTTGTGAAAAGTGTTGGAAATATTATTTCTGGCATGATGTAGAGTTAACCTGTCACATTGATAAGGTACATGACCAAGATGGTTTTAGTGACTTTAATATACTAAATCTGCAAGAATTAAAAGTAATCGTGCAGTAAAATTATAAAGAGCAGCTTTAAAGTAATTGGATATGTCTGGTGACATTTTATAAATATCTCTTTGGAGAATGGTACTTTTGAAACTATTAATCATTAAATATTATTTAACACGTTAAGCGCCATGTGGTATAATGCGCATGTCGCATCTCATTGCCAACAGTTCTATTTGACAATATTAACGGTTTGGCCAAGTGGAGTGGATTTTCAGATTCTACTGTGGTGTTTATGTGTTAAACAATTATGGTACAAAAGGCAGAGTATTTGATTACCTTAGAGACAGAAAACAAGTAATCAAAATGTTTGGTTATGTTTCAACAGGAATTGATATATTAAATGGAGTTCCTCAGGGACGTATTATAGGGCTATTGTTATTCTTAATCTATATTAATGATATCAACAATAGTAGTGAATGTGATTATATACATCTTTTTGTTGATGACACTCTAGTAAAGTGGGTGATGAAGATATAGAAGTAGCTATTCAAAAAAGAATAATTCTTTAAATAATATTGCTAGATCTTTAAAAATTAATAAATTAAAGCTAAATGTTTATAAAACAAAGAGTACGATACTTTCTATAGCTTTTAAATTCAGAGAATCAAATTGAAAATGACAAAATTGGGTTAGTAATTGAATTTAAATATTTAGGATTTATGTTAGCTAATCATTATTCAGTTATTAGTAATTTTAATTACATGAAAAACATTTTTTTAATAGTATCTCAGCACTTAAATATGCAGTCACAAATAACAGTACATAAGGCCACATTTCGAATATTGTACTACTTTGTTATACAAATCTGATTTAAATAAAATAAGAACCGTACAGAAACTAGACAATCGTGTAATGAGGATTATTTTGAGATGTAACAGGTACATACCAATATCTTTACTGCTAAATACTCTGGAATTGTTAACTATAGAAAGCCTTAGATATTTAATAATGGTATATAATTACAAAAGATTACAATCATATTTTAACTAATTTGTAAAAATCAAATTCATTACACTAGAATAAGAAATAATCTGTACTTAAATAAACGAAACCATTTAATATCAAAATATTAATTTATTAAAGATTCATTAATTACAAGTATATCTAAAAATGTAAATGTTCTCTTTGTTTAAAACGAATTTACTAAACCATTTAATACAAAATTAAGTTACCAAATTATTATTTAGAATCCTTTGAATTTAGATGTAATTTTAATAATTTACCAATTATAAACAAAATACTGTATTCAATACTTTTTATTTTATTCATTTAAATATTAATTTTCTTGTATATTAGACTGTACCTATTTTTATGAAGCTATTTACCTATCTACCAAATTGAACAGTGAATAAAGAATACTTCTATTAAATTATTTTTTATAATTGTATATTATGTACAAAAAAAGACTATACTTACCAACATCATCTAAATCGTTATGTTTGCCTCCAGCTCTGATGCATTTTTGCGAATTAACTGCACGTACCAATTTTGACAAATCACTATTGGGATCCACTGTTCCCAAAAAAATAGATTTGAACTGGTTCATACCAGCATTGGTAAATAATAATGTCGGATCATCCAATGGGATAGTCGAAGAAGAATGCACATAAGTGTGGTTTTTCTCTTTAAAAAAGTCTATGTAAGCATTTCTAACTTCTTTAGCAGTCATTGTTACAGCCATCGCTATTTATTTAGAAAACTAAAATATATTTAAACATTTTACTTATATGAACGAGAGAATTTCTTACTATTTTAAAAGAAAAGGGACACCATATAAACGTCCACTACTAAATTTTTTAAAGTAAAAATGAGGCAATATGGTACAGATTTTTTAATATTGCCATTAAATAACTTACTTAAAAAGTAGATCAACTACTAATAAGGTAGATATGTAAACGTTATTCGTGCTTCGATTTTTAGCAGAGAAAGTAAAAAAGACCGGACAATGTTCACATCCACACACGTCACAAACTTTTTTCAATTATGGGGTTATGCTCACATATGATGATGATGAGGTTATGTATGGTTATGTATTTTTTTAAACAGCTGTTTGTAAAATGCCATTTATAATTTTTATTTAGACTAAATATCCAAGGTAGTGGAGGCTCAAAAATCTTTTTAATAGAAGGAAAAGAAGAAATAAACATACGTTTCTGACAATGACAGAACTGCGTTCGACTGACTTTTTTTGATAAGTGACGGATATACGTTTGATTGATTTTTTTACAGAACTGTGTTAGATTGACTTCTTTTTTCGTACTAGATCTAAGATGTTTGTGACAGGAGTGACAAGACATATCGCGTTCCAAGGTTCCAAGTGACCAACGTTTCAATGTAAAATTGAAAAATTCCTCGTTTTATCATTGAAAACCTTAGAAAAATCCCATTTATTTAAAAAAAATCGGTCATCAAAATTAATATTTATTATACGATTTTCATATTATTGTTTTTTAATAATAATATCGCCTTAAATTTCTCTCGGCACGCGTGGTGTTCCATGCCAACATGATGAGCAGCATCCATGTTTGATTTCTGCTTTGTTTAGGTTGAGGCGATAATATTTTTAATATAAGCATAATTTTCCCGGCCAAAAACAGTTTTCCAAAGAACGGCCGCACACATGAAGATGAAACTCGTCGATCAAGTAGTGCGGAGTTTCCGCGTAGCGAAAGTATTCCGCGAAAATACAGACAAAATAAACAGTATCGATTTCTCGCCGAACGGCGAGACGTTAATTTCGTGCAGCGAAGATGACCAAATCGTGATATACGATTGCGAAAAGGGGACGCAAGTAAGGACTGTAAACAGCAAGAAGTACGGCGTGGATTTGATTCATTTCACCCACGCAAAAAACACTGCCGTCCACAGTTCCACCAAAGTCGATGATACAATAAGATATCTATCGTTGCACGATAATAAGTATATTAGATATTTTCCGGGACACACTAAGAAAGTGGTATCGCTCTGCTTATCTCCCGTTGAAGACACATTTCTGTCAGGTTCTGTAGATAAAACGCTTAGACTGTGGGATCTGAGATCTCCGAATTGTCAAGGGTTAATGCATTTATCTGGTAGGCCCGTAGCAGCTTACGATCCAGAAGGACTCATTTTTGCCGCCGGTGTTAATTCAGAAAGCATAAAATTATACGATTTAAGGTCATTTGATAAGGTGAGTGCATTAGTACTTAACAATTATTGTAATCGAACATTTTTTATATATAAATTTATAGTAGGTATTAAATCGAATTAAAAATGTTTCAGGGACCTTTTGTAACATTCAAATTAACACAAGAAAAGGAATGTGATTGGACAGGATTAAAATTTTCGAGAGACGGCAAGACAATTCTTATCAGCACTAATGGCTCTATAATTAGACTGATTGATGCTTTTCACGGTACTCCTTTGCAGACATTTACAGGACATCTTAATAATAAGGGTATTCCCATTGAAGCTTCCTTCAGTCCTGACTCACAGTTTATTTTTAGCGGGTCTACAGATGGTAGAGTGCATGTTTGGAATGCAGATACAGGGTATAAGGTGAGTTGAACCTTGTTCTCTCTCATAAAGTAGAGCTAATCTCTAGTTGGGGGTCGGCTCTTGAGGCTAGGCAGTTTGGGTCAATATATTGATGCCAAACTTAGTATATGGTTGTTTACCCATGAATATGAAAAGCAAATAAAACATTCCTCCCTCACACCCCTAGGTTATATGGAGGGGATGTCACTCTGAAAAATTGAAGTTACAATGTTTTTAATAAAACAGTTGGAATCTACAAATTTTTCTATATACAAACCCAATTTTTTTTTTTATATTTGGCATGAATGATCATGGTTCAGATGTGGGCGTTGGTATATACATAGTTATAGAAGAGATGAAAATCTCATTTTGGGCACATTTATAACAGACCTGATTTAGAACATACTTGTATCAAAATTTTACCCCCACCATCACCTAGAGGGAGTGGCATCCCCCAAAATATTAAGTTAGAATTTTTTAAATAGGTAATACAATTGGAATCTACGACTTTTCTATATCCATACCCAAAATTTAATTCTTTGACAATTTTTTTTATTTAAAAATTTTTAATTCTATTTTTTCAATATTCTACCCCCTCCATCTTCCTCTCTAGTGGGTAAGATTGTGTATACAAGTATGTTTTAAATCAGGTCTATTAATAATTTACCAAAAATCAGATTGTATCTCGTCTGTAACTAATTTTAAATGCCAGGCCCCACATCCAAATTATATTCGTTCAGGTCAATTTTTTTTAAATATGTTGAAAAATCGTAGATTCCACCTGTTTTATTATGAAAAATAGTAACTTCAGTTTTAGAGAGTGACACTCTCCATATCAGACAGGGGTGCAATTTTTTTTTAGATTTTCATATTAGTAGTTAAATATATACATATACCAAGTTTGGTGTCAATATCTCGACCTGAACCCTAGTCCCAAGAGTTGAACTCCAACCCTATCTTGTTATTATCTTTGCCCATACTATATACTATCTCTATCACTTCTATAACATCTCTTTACAGGTGTGTGTTTTAAATGCTGATCATCCAGGTCCAGTTCAGTGCGTTCAATTCAACCCCAAATACATGATGTTGGCTTCTGCTTGTACAAACATGGCCTTTTGGCTACCAGCAATGGAGGACACATAAAAGGCTGTGTATGGTGTTGTCCGGGATTTAAAACGTTAATTTTTCTTCAAGTGAGATTAGATTTTAGAACCATTTATTTCAGGCGTCAAGAACTCAACGTTTTTCAGTTAGAAGAAATTAAGGAGACTTAAATACTTAAAATTATAAAGTATAAATAAAGTCAAATAAAAAAAAAATACAAAGAAAATCAGATGAAAGCGAGCTTAAAACCCAATTATCTCATATATTTCTGTTAATTCTGTTTCTGTAAATAGTTCTGGATTTTACAATTATTATTGTAGGTTTTTTTACTTCTATAATTTGTATGATTTAAATATCATTAAATTATTTTTCTATAGTTTTGTATTTATTTTTTTTAATTAAAAATTAAGGTTAAAGACTTTTGTTATGTTTATTTTTTGTTGAAAATTTGCAGAAATAATTTTTTTTAGTAATACTGATAAAAGTGTTAAAATAATTGTTTCTTACAATACGTCTTTTGTACAAATGGCTAGAATGTCAATGTTGCAACCAACTATTAAAAGCCAGCGTACAATAATCTAAGAAGACTATCTCATATAGGCGAAATATATTCCAAATTCAAAACTGGTTATCAAATGTCATGTATGTCAAAAATTGCGGGAAATATCACCAATTTTGTAGTGTTTTATTTGACAACTCATGGTAATGGTCCGCCTTGTATGTTGTTTGGATAATAGTGATAAATGTGATATGTTCTAGAATTAAAAGTCAATATAATTGTTAAATAAATCCTATAAATTAAAAGTATATACTTTATTTTGTGTTGTTTGTTAAAATTAGGTAAGTTCCCATAATAAAAACATTTAAATGTATGTCATAATATTGTCACAAGTGTATCCTGTTTATAATTTTTTATTGTAATTTTATTTACTAGCTCTGTAAAGAGATTTTATAAATCTGTTGAATAACAAAGACTATTATAATTGAAGAAAAATATGTACCTACTAAAAGTTGGTAAAAACCAAATTTTTTAATTAACCCTTAAAAACAATATCGATTAAAGATTTCTTTTAACATTAAACACTCATTTAAATTTATTATGAAATTGATTCTAAGTATTGCCAATAGAGTGACCACAACATGTCAAGCAGTTGGTGCATTAAATAATGTCTAGAACTGGAGAACATTCTAACCGATTGACATTTTGTACATTTACGATAAGATTGATGAATAAACTTATGTTTTTAAATGAATATTAATACTTCTAATATTGTTATTTATGGGAATTTAGATATCAGTATTTAATTTTTGTATAGAATAAAAGCAATTTGTCTCCATAATAATTATTCCAGACTGATAATCCATGTGAACACAGTCGATGTGTTTTTAAGAATTGTGTTTTGCATCATGATTATTAAATTATTTCTTAAATAAAACGATCTTTTATTTCACGTGATTGTCAGTTTCAGTGCGTAAACTTTACATATACAGTGCATATGGGTACAATGCATTTGAATAAGCAGTAAACCATATGTACTCACAGTACACTGTTTTAGGTGTTAAGATTTCATTAGGATTGTGGGCCACGTGGCCTCCCCCACTTGTCCTCTCCAAATAAATTGTGGATAGTTTCTAATAGTTGTTTAACCCGTTGACGAACAACGACGTCTATAGACGTTGACAGTAGTACCAAGCCAAAGACAAGAATCTCACTGAGCTTAGATAAACATGCGACTGTATTCCAGGCAGAAATAGCAGCAATACATCATTGCGCAAAAGAGGTATTAAGACAGAAGGTAAATGAAAAAACCATTGTCATATACTCAGACAGTCAAGCGACGTTAAAGGCACTCAGTTCCATGCAGGTACAGTCAAAGCTTGTGTGGGACTGTTTGGATCCCCTAACAGAGCTGACAGACTAACCTTAGCCTGGGTACCAGGCCACAGATGACATAAGGGCAATGAAGAGGCTGATTTACTATCCCGAGAAGGAGCCTCAAAGGCTCTTATTGGCCCAGAACCCTTCTGTGGTGTAACAAAAACAACTATCAGAATATGCACAAAGCAGTGGATGTTTAAAAAATCTCAGGAGTGGTGGAAAAACTCCAGGACAGACAGGCCAAATAGTTCATAAAAGGACAATCGGCTAAACTCACCCAGCATCTACTAAGCCTTAATAGGAAAAATACTAGAGTACTAGTAGGTCTATTAACAGGGCATTGTAGGCTTAACAAACATATGTATAATATCGGTCTGACAGAAGAGACCATGTGCCGATTCTGCCAGGAAGAGGAGGAAACGGTAGTACACGTATTGTGCTACTACGAAGGTCTAGCAAGACTGAGATTCCTTACACTTGGAGAAGAAAAACCAAGGGCAACTAGCTATACCGGGGAACTACTTCCCAGTCTATGGAGTCTACTACAAAAGATCGAATTAGACAAGTTACTCTAAATAATGATTCAAGGATATCCACAAAAGATCTGAAAAGGTCGAGGTGGGGGAGGCCACGTGGCCCACAGTCCTAATTAAATCTAATCTAGTAGCTCCACAGATTCCGAAAATCTAATTGTCAAATTGTTCTCAAAAAACATTTGTAATAACGGTACGGCCCCATTGTGTTGCACAAAGCCATCTCGGCTGTAAAGTATGGACAGTTCGTTTTTGAATTTTAAGCTGTTTACGTTTGGAAATAAACTACACATAGTTTTAACGTCCTCATTTGGAAAACAACCTCGGTGTTAGGTGGGTAGTAAAACTAAAACGTTCATTTACTTTCACTACTATTGGATCACAAATTTCCTTACATATCCTTAAATTAGGAATGAGGTCCTCCTTTTCAACAAACCGTCTCTTCTTGCTTGTACTTGGACCTGATTGGGTGTTGTCGTTTAAGTTTAGTTCTTGTGGGACTTGTGATTGCCATTCTTCATGAAATAGCATGTCTATATTATTTCTAATATTTTGAATAGCTGCTGCAAAATTTGATATGTTTATTTTAACCTTGAGAGCATCGAGCTGTCTACTCTGCAGTTGATCAAAAAGTATATCGCAATTTGGCATTATTTTGCTGAAGAAAAATAACCAGAAACTAAAATCTGTCTTTCAAAATTTATCAACCCTTTAGTCTGATTAATAGTTTTTTTTATCAAATTCTGTGTTCATAATTGCTTCGAGACATTTAATCAAATCCTCTTTATAAACATAAATAGTATTGACACACTTCGATGTAAAATTCCATCGTGTAGGAGCCGAACGAGGTATCCGTTTTTTTTACAACCCTATCCAAAACGCTTGTTCTTTTTGTAGAGCGAGAGAAGTAAGCAAAAAATGCAGAGAGATTGGCAAAAAAACTCTTACAGCCTTATCTATTGAGCAACACTTCTCAATTATTAGATTTAATTGGTGCGCGTAGCAGTGAATATATTGGGCATTTGCATAGATGTTTTTAATTTTAGCTTGTACCCCTCCAACAATACCATTCATTACGGAAGCACCATCGTAACTTTGTGCTATTAGTTTTTCAGGTACTTTGTCAATTCCTAGTTCATTTAGGGTCGATTCCACCGTTGTGTTAAACGGAGATTAAAATGACATTGTTAATGTAAAAATGTCATTTTAAACTTCGTTTAACACAACGGTGGAATCGGTCCTTAATACCTCCAGAATTGCCGCCGAAAGCCCGTCTGCAGTGTGATCCATTGGTCTCAAAAAACTCCAAAACCTTTCGTAAATCCGACCGTCTCTTACATATCTGATTATCAAAACCATCTGCATTTGAGTTGATGCATCAGTTGTTATATATTACAAAACGAATTACCGAAATTTACGGCCCCAAAAGATCAACAAGCTAAATGTGACCACTCAAAATGTATTTAACTATGTACGTGGCTATTTAATCAAAAAATCATTACATATCCACTCTCAGAAGAATGCAATTTACTTAACAATTCTAACTTGTTAACGCATTTTAAAGCATACGAAGAAAAGGTGTTTGGCAATTTAAAATCTCCCAGCGAAAAATTTCTCTTTTATATTTTCAAATTAGAAAAAATATTTATATCTCTATTTGATAGTTTGTCAACTAAGCCTGGGATTTCCAACGCATACCTTTTTGAGATGAGCAAAATAGAATTTGGTCATCCTTACAATTTGCGAAAATGTACACCATTAAATTATTTATAAGACTCAGAATTTTTTATACTCTTAAATATGTAAAGAGAGATTTGAAATCCTCGAAAAAGTATGACAAAACCAAAAGAAAAATTAAAATTTTGTCCCATTTATAAATATTATTGATTTTTTTCATCATATTTTTGACTGCTTTATAAAAAAAAGTTATTTTTCTTTGTAGTTTTATTTCTTACACAATAAATAAATTATTATCATGGTCCACCAAACGCGCATCTTAAGCCAAAACCGGCATCGCCTTTGTGAGGAAGCCGGTAAAGATGCCGCTGCATACATTCGTATCTGGTCTAGGTAATCTGTGCTATGGGTACAGCACGTCACGATAAGGACAGCGCCCCACTTGTGACGTATAATCCATCGCATGTGTTCATCTCTTGCTAAACGATATTGTCGTTGTCCTTGTTTTCGCATCATAATGAGAAAAAACAACAGAGGCCCACATGTACTGTGCCCTGTGCCCATCTTCCACTTAATTTCGGAATTCTCGGAACGTTGCTTAACGCCCGGTCGTCCAGTGTCGTGCCAAAGCGGTTTGCGCTGAATATTAGATAAAATAATAATAGGCATTGAGGAAAATATAAAATATGTAAGTTATTTATTTTTTGTGGTTTATTATACTAGGGCACGTGCGCAAGTGCCCTTACGGGCAAACCGCCACTGCTTCTAAAAGGTCCCACACGAGCTTTGAGTGTACCTTCATGGAACAGAACTGTATACCAGGTGAATTCTGCTTAAATAGAAGGTTTTTTCATCCACCCTTCCTTTTTACTTTATATTGCTTTTGAAAGCTGTATTTTTTTATCATTTCGCCTGAATGCGTTCTCATTATTTGGTCGTTCCCAAAGTCTTCATATAGCTCGCTGTAGTCACGTCCATGCAAACTGCTCATGGGCGATGGACCTTTGTGCAGTCTGTTTGTGACAGATCTGGCTTCGTCTTGAATGAATATATGTAGTGGTATTAGGTTTAGCATGACTTCTCGGGCTGCTGGTTGAGTCGTTCTTATGGCTCCCGTGGCACTCAAGTATGCTTGCCTTTGAATACCGTCCAGCTTGTCCGAGTCTTTGGCCACCCATAGCACTGACCCATAGGTTGTCATAGACCTTTATGACTACGGTATAAAGCCATATAGAGACATTTTTGGTTGTAGCCCCCAATTTTTTTCACATGATTATACAAGTTAATGGATATTGTGCTTTTTTGGGTGACTTTTTTCAAGTGTTGAAAAAAAGCTTCTTTGGCAAATGAAATAGTCACTTCTTTCAGTTCTAGTGACTTTAGTCCTGACTATGAAGACTAATGGTAGGATTCTGGGAAATATTCTATAAGCTACAGAATCTGTAAGGTATAGTAATGTATTTTTTTACAGATTTTGGCTCACAGATCTTATAAATTGTCTCAGAATCGACCCATGTCTTCATAGTCCTGACAGTACCCTTCGTTTTGTGAAGTTGACTATTGTGGTTTTGTGAAGGTTTACTCTGTACCACTCGTCAACGATCTTTAGAGCGGTTTGTGTGCGCTCCGATATTGTGTACCTACGAACTTTGCTCTTACGACGATCGCCAGGTTTCCCCGTTGTTGGCTGGGTAAATTATCCTGTGGGATATAGCCCAATAAAGGAAGAAGAAGATCGCCAGGTTATCGGCATATCCTATAGGCAGTAGAAGTCTGCCTTTTTATGAGTTCGTGCACTAGGACTATCGAGAATAAAGTAGAGACCACATAAACACTATTTTGCAATATGACAGATGGATGCACTTCGAGTGTGACGAAAAAGTGTAATGACAATGGCGGCTTGAGTTGTACTTTGATTTATTTAAAGTCAATAATTTTATATTTGAAGACTGACGGAATGAAAATGATTTTATATTATTTAAATCAGCCATACTCAACCTGCGGCCCGTGGGCCGCATGCGGCCCTCCAAGCTCTTTTTGCGGCCCGAAACACTACTATTTAGAAGATGCGTTTTATAACTATAGGTTTCTGTATTTAAAATTTTGAGCAAGATGCGCGAAAACATACATCGGTCCCTGAGCTAAATATCACGCTAATTTTTAAATAAATGTTTGGATAGAGTTACTACAAAAATAAGATAGCTCCACTTTTGACATTTTTGACTTAAGTACACTTTCGTCTCCGAAATAGTTCAAATGATATACGGCATGCTCAAAAATGTGAACGAAGTCTATATTCATGATAAACAAATGGTCAAAAAACTGAATCCAT